GTCGTTCCGCGTCCCGTCCCGAGACACGATCTGCCCGATGCCTCCTGACAGGCAGTCAGTCTGCTACCGCTGCCCATCTGACTGCACCCGATCCCGCTGTACGTTTAAATATACAGCCACTACACTTACAGGTTATGAAGCTTAGGCTATATATCCGCAATTTCTGGCAAAGTATGATTATGATTGGACTGTGGATATACACTTGCATATTCCTGAAACAAGACACAACATCACAGAAGGGCTTTGTGTTTCTGTTTAGGATTTGTGGGTTAGGATTAGATTCTGTCGCATTGTTTTAAACCCTCCTATTGTGCTCAAGAACTGGGTAGGCCTACAGGATTCATGTAAAAACAGAAAACCCCTATTGTCAGAGACTATAAAATATAAAAATATGCGAAAAGTGTAATAATTCCCATTTATTGTTATTTCTGTTGTGTTAGGGATTATATTTCACTTTTTTCACATAGGTCACATATGTTTGTCTTCAAAATTAACTGCATACACACACAAACACGCAAACTCGCACTTCTTTTCAGTGCTCTAGTAATTGAGATCCAAAAAAAGAAAAGAAAAACAACCTTAATATTAATCAAATATATTAAACAGTACTTTTTCCGAAGACATTCAGAAGACAGTTCAGTTCAGAATTATAAATTAAAGGTCCCCTGAAATGCGTAGAAACCATAGACTGTATAAAAACAGGTAGAAACAAGCAGCGGTACTCTATGTGTTGACGTCATTTTAACTGAAACAGGAAGACAGGGCGGGACATATCAAGCAGCCCCGCCCCTTTTTAAAATAGCCAATAGCGTTAGTTTATATCACAGCTTGGGCTAGAGCCGTTCAGAGCCGTTGAGCTCCATAAAGCCGCCGCATTTGACAGGGTATGCCAGCCACAATCTCATCCATATTATTGCTATAAAATATAGCATTCTGTGTAGAATTCAAATAGCTCCGATACATTTTGTGGTCTGCACAGACTCATGCATGTGATCCTCTTCGTGCTATCGTGTCTCTGGACCGAAGCAGAGTGTGTGTGCGGTGCGGTGGTTAGCGGGACACAGCGCGAAACCAGACTT